TGTATCATTTCTATTTCTAATTTGTCTTCTTGTACTCTTAATTTATTATTTGCTGCTACAATATAATTAACTTCTTGGCCTAGAATACTCTTTACTCTATCGATTCTTTCAGTCATTGTTACTCTTTCTATAACTTTTCTCCAATCTCTAGCTACTGTTACTATACTACTATCTACTTCTAATATTTTTGCTATCATCTTATCAATATGATCTTCTAAACCTATTACTGATCTGCTACCTTCTGCTATTCTTTCTTTACTGTATTCTTTAGTTACTACTTCTATGAATCTACATACTTTCTTTCTGTTCTAAATATCTATCTAATTTAATCTATAATTATTAGCTTTGTCTATACTCTATACTTTGTTTGGTGATTATTCTCTTTGTTCAGATTCTTTAAATCTTTTTTCTAGAAATGACTTCACCTTTTTTCAAATTTCCTTTGAATTTACTTAGTTTGCCTGTAAACTATCTAGTTCTGGTCTTGTGTGATTCGTCTTTGCTTTTTAATACATAATACATATTTCAATAACATGTTTGTTTGTTTATCTACTTTGCACGTATTTGTATTATGTGGTTGATCTGTATTTCAGAATGTTTTAGGATTCCTAGTTTTGTTTGCAAAAAATTTTCTTCATAATAAATTTTTGATGAGACTTCTTCTAGGTCACTTTTTAAGCTTGAGTTTTTCTATTTTTCTACTTCTTTATATATAATTTTACTTTTTGTATCTCTTTTCTTAATATGCTAAAGTGTGTTAATTAGTGAGTTTAATAGTTTATCTATGTAGCAACCTTTAGCTCAATTTTGTGACCAGATGATCTACAGAGAGAGTTCTAAAAATAAGAATTATCTTTTTGCAGTATTTGTTTTTCTATCTTTATAATTTTTGTCAAAAATTATAAGTTTTAAAAATTAATAATAAAATAAGAATTGAAATTAAATTGAAAATTAAAGTATTCTTTGTCTAATAAAAGAATTATTTAAAGTGTATTTTAAAAGGCTTAAAATATAATTACTATTATTTGAATAAATAGTAATATGAATAAAAATAAAAAGATAGCAGAGGTGTAACTTAAGAGCTATCCTCTGTACTCATCAGCTAGACTTGGCATACTCTAAGCTAGAATTGAACTCTCAACTTAGATCTACTAGATACATATATCTAAACTATTATCTCACAACTGCTTAATATCTAAATTTTTTTGTAAAATCTTTTTAAGCATCAGAAGTTTGCTAGTAATTGTCTAATAAGAATTTTTAAATCTTGTCAAATGATATATAAGGATAAAATATATATAAAGTTTTTGATAAGATTGATAAAATTTAAAAACTTTAAAAAAAAATTTAAAATTTTTAAACCATAACAATAATAATAATAAACAATATAACTAGTCATTTTAATAATCAACAATAAAAGTTTTTTACTTATTGCCTAAAAAAAAGTTTTAGTAATCCTCTTTTTGAAGTTTTAGAAGTTGTTCAAACAGATAATAGAAAGTATTTATTTATAATATATTATATTTCAAATAATATATTTAAATTTTGTTTTAAAATTATTAGATTAGTTCAAGAAATAAATAGTTTACATTGTTAAGTTTATTAGTTAAAAGAAAGAGTTGAAGTTTAGTAAGAAAGTATTGTGGAGAGTATTCAAAAAAATTAAATAAGAGATGCAAAATATGAGAAGTTATTAGTTAAAAAAAATTATTTGAGAGCTCAAGTAGCAGATTTAGAAGTTTAGATAGAAACAAGAAGAGGTAGTAATAATAATAATAGTAGTAGTAGTAGAGAAAAAAAGGTTGGTTTTAGTTTTTTTAGAGATGGAAGTAATATATAAATAATTTTTTAAAATAAATTTCTAATTTACTATATTTAATAAAATTTAAGTTATTGATATTAAGGTCTGGTGATCTTAGTGTAGTAGTTAGGTTGCCGGACTGCCATGCAAGAAGTCTAGGATTCAAATCCTACTATATATAGAATTGAATAATTATCTAGACATCTGTATTCAACTTATGGTAAACTCTGCTAGTTTCTGGAGTTGTAACTCTGTAAATCATGTTGAACCAATGCCAATTAGGGTATTGGAAGTATGACAGAGTGTTTGGTAAGGCATAACATTACACAAATAAATCTTAATAGAATCTACAGACAGAGGATCTGCATAGTAGAAATCCTGAATTAGGTGAAGTAGTACAGATTTCAATAGTCATACCAGTTAACATCAGATCTGGGAAAGGAAATCTATGTATAAAAAGATCGATGAAATAGATACGAGTAAGTCCTGAGTACAGAAGGATTGATGAAACAAATACGAGTAAGTTTGTTACACAAGGTTGTATGACAACACCAAATTGATTTAGCAGCTAACTAGATTTAGGAGAATCTGTTTCATATGATATCTGGCAGCAAAGCAGGTAACACCAAGTAACAGATTTGGGAGGATCTACTTCATGTGATATCTGGAGGCACAGATGACTAACTTAGTGGAAGGCCACAGTAGGAACTGGGTTTATATGAATATCGAACAAGGGTATATGCAAGCTAGATTAGGATATAACATAGTATATTTGGGTATCACAGCACCCATCGATTAGGAAGTTGGTAAAGGGGTATCTGAAATAGACTTAGGCTTTGAATCATAAAGTTTGTAGACTAATGTCAGCTCTGTTGATGTCTTCTAAAATAGGAGTAGTATAGGGTTAGGCGAATTATGATAAAAATAGCAGGTTAGAATTAGCATATAGCCAGAGAGCTTAAATAGAGAATCTTCAAATAGATTTCAGATATAGCAGCAAGTGTAGAACTTTCAGACAGACTACTTAAATTAGACAATTTAAAGTTGTACATGTGGCTAGTTATACTCTCACAATATGTAATATTTCTCACTATTTAAATTAATAAAATTCAGCTGATAGCATTTGTATAAAATAAAAAAAAAAAAAAAGTTATTGATATTGCTTTAACTTCTAAGTTTAAGTTGTTGTCAAAATAATAAAAGTATTTTTTAATAAAGTTGTTGATTTTATTATAACTTCCAAATTGTAGTTATAAATCTTTGTATCAAAATTTTGAAATATTTTTCAATAAAATATTCAAATATAATTTCTTTGTTTGATATAATCTCTTTATTCAAAATTGTTATTTTCTTCAAATTAATTTATAATTCTAATATATAGTATTTACTAAATTGTAAATATCTTTTATTAGAATACCATCAACTTAAAGAAATTGATTTTAATGATAGATTTAAGATATAATATCTTGAAAGTCAAAGACCTGATTGATTATATTCAAATATTCAAATTCTAAAGTATTGTTATAAGAATAAGTATAGTAATATGAGGATATATACTCTATTCAAATTGTTTAAATATTTTAAAATAATCTAAATTTTTTATTATGCATAGTACTTATTAGGCTTGACAGTACTAGGCTATATATATAACTTATAGATCTTTCTAATAAAGAATTCCAAATTCTTTTCTAGCATGCTTAACAATTATTTATATACTATTGTTAGGCTAATTAAAAGACTTATTGCTATTTTAATTTCTATAGTTGTTGTGATTATTTTTCAATAGAGTAAAATATCTAACCTTCAGTTATTTTTGCTTAGAAATAATAAATTTCAAGTCATTTTATACAATATTGAATTGCAAAGGGTAAAGATATTCTCATAATCAGCTTACTTTTATATAGAAGTAATAAACTAAAATATTTTAACAAAATAAATGAAAATAATAAAAGCTCTAGTCTCACTCAAATCTATTCTAGTCAACTATAAATACTAGGCTTAATTAAGAAAACTAAAATAGAATATCTAATAAACTATATAACTATATCAGCAAATTATATAAACGTAATCTTATGTAAGATATTATAGACTGAAAATTCCAAAATAATTACGATCAACACAGAATATTTCACAATTTTTAATTACAGAATATTACAAAATATATTACACTATATTACGAAAAAAATTTCACAATATTTCAAAATAATTCAAATTAATTCAAAACTAAAAAAATAAATTAGCTATAAAACTAGAATAAAATAAATATGTTAATTAAAAAATGTGAATTAATTCAAGTATATTAAATAAAATTCAAATTAGTTCGAATTGTACTAAATCAAATTATTGTGATTTAAAGTAAATATTCTAAATATATTTAATAGTACTATTTTATTTATTTATTATAAAAATAATTTGAATTAGATCGAATTATACTAAATATACAACTAAAATTAATTTATTTAAATAAACATCAAATTTATAGCTTAAATCTAAATTTTATTAATAAATTTATTTTAAATATTATATATAAAAAAGCAAAACTAAGATAATCCTATTTAAAGAAATATATAAAAAAATAAATGACAAAAAAAAGTTCAGTATTATTCATATATAAAAAAACAAAACAAAAAAAAACTTTTACTCATCATTATTAATATATTCGTCATTATCTTCAGGTTCATTTTCACCCTCTTCTTGATCTTTATCCAAATCATCTTGATCTAATTCAATATATTCTAAATTTAATTTATTTAATTATAATTGCAACAATTTGAATTATTTTGAATTGTTTCTAATTTTATACTTTATTACTTACCAACTCTTGATCTTTTGCTCATCTTAAAACAAAATTATAAAAATTAATTTATATTAATTTAATTAATTAAATTTAAATATTATACCTTTTCGAATTTATTCAATTTATATTTACATTTTCTAACTTGATCCTATTTAATTAGTTTAAATTTAAATATAAGAAATATTTTTTATAATAAATTTAAAATATTTTAATTAATTAAACTATACTTTATCAACTTTTTCTGATTTGTTATCAATTGATTCTTCGCTATCTTCACTAAAATCTTCATCTTTGTCTTCAGAACTTGAAATATAAAAACTGCTGCTATGCTCTAATATATTTTATAAAATATGAATTAATTCGAATTTATTTAAAATATTTTAAATAATAAAAAATAAAATATTAATAAATACATATTAAATTTTTTTTAATTAAATTTTTAACAGCAGTATCTGACATCATTATTTTGTCATATTTGGGATTAAGCATAGTTTGTGTTATAGCTATAGCATATGCTATATTTTCTTTAGAGGCATCTCCACTAGGCCAAATTCTTTTTAAAATTTGAGACATATAAGTCTCATCAGAATTGTTTTCTACCTCATTAAATAGTTGCTTATAACATACTTTAGTCTGTTCAGATCTTTTCCATTTTAGAACTGTCTCAGATGATGCTTTTATATTTATTGGTTCTAAAAGATTTTCAAATATAAAAAATGTAGAAGATTTAATCTTGTTAGTTAAAGTACCCCACAAAGATCTAATTTTTTCCAAAAGCTATAAATATAAATTATAAAAGCAAATTAATTATTAGTTTCGAACTTGTTCAAATTATATTAAATTAGTTAAAATAATTGAAATTAAGAAATAAATTAAATAAAATTGTTTTACTGGTCCGTTAAAATTCTTCATATAATATGCATTCCACTGCTTTGGTGAAAATTTTTGAAAATTATTATTTTAGTTAGCCCTAATGTAATTTTCTACAGCCAACTTTAATTCTTTATTATCAGGATATATCGCATAAGTAATTAATTCTTTAGCAGCCTCTTTAATCATATTCTATTAATATATTTATTTTATTAAATTAATGTAAATTAATTTAAATTAATTAAAAAAAATAAATTTAAACTTAAATAATTACTTCTTTAAAGGTCTTCTCATTTTTAAAATCGAATTTATTTTCTATTTTCTGCTCTAATTTACTTAATCTATTTTCAATTCTCCTAACTTTAGATTTAAGTTCTCTAATTTTATAGAGAATTTCTCCTTGATTTTTAATAATTTTTGCTAAAGAAATTGCTAATGCTAAAAATTTAATAAATTAAAATTAATAACTAATAACTTATTAAAATTAAAAAATATAAGTTTAAAAATGTTAAATACAATCAAATGTATTCAAATTATCTAAAGTGATATTTCCACTACTTGATTCAACTCCAAGATTTTCAAACCTTTCCAAAAAACTTTTACTTAGTTCAGATCTTCTAGTTTCTTCTAAACTTACTGGTCTCATAGTTGGCTTCTTGCCTTGGCTTTTTTTTGAACTTTTTTTGGAGAAGAAAGACATACCTTGAAATATTTCAAAAATACTTTAGATTATAAAAATGAAATAAAACTTAAAATAAAGTTAGTAGTGTAGTTAGTTGTAAAAAATAAATAAACTTAAAATTTTAAAGTAAATTAA